GCTTTAGAAGAACCCGGTTTCAACAGAATGGATGTACGTCTCAAAACACCATTCAAGTCAGGAACTGCGGGGAGCAGTCTGATGAAAGAATAATTTCATTAAATGGTAGAATATCTTGGCCTTCTAGATCCCCTGACCGCTTTCACACTTGGATTTCTACCTGCGGGATCACACGAAGAACGAGGTCTATGAATTTGATTCTCCCGTGACCATAGAAATCCTGATACAAAGAATTTTGAGCACAGTCAGAAGCATTAACACGAATACATCAGCTAAGGTTTTACGAAAAACGGTCAAACATATCTGGATTCAAATGGAGGTTATTTTGCAAATCTGTAAATAAATAAATACCCACTTTCATAATTAGATTTTACATTACATTACAATTTTGTAAAATGTTTGTTTGTTCCAGTGCAAAATAAATGTACGACTATTTTGTAACACACTCACTTCTATTGAAAATTGAAGGCGTTTATGTGTTTTTTATGCCTTACACATTAGTGTTATTTTCTGACAAATAAATCATGGCCTCCTTAGAAAAAACTAATACATAATATTACGTATGATAATATTCCGGTGATACTCCAATCTTTCATGCCCTTGTGAGACATCATTAGACTGAAAACTTTACACTTTTTTGAAAAATGAAAAAATCGAATATGGCGGCAGTAAGGAAAATGAAGGTTGAGGCGGGTTGCTGGAAACCGAAAGACGATTGAGACATGTCATACATGCTATCTTATATATCTTAAAGTCACATTTTGATAGCTGTAAAATTAACCGTTTTGGATTAACAGGCAAGAAACAAATTCCGCCATTTTCGGTTTTACGTTGATATTTTCAAAATCAATTGACCGATCGCGAATCGGAAGCCAACCATCGAAAGCACTAAGTTTCCTCTAAAACTATTCTCATTTAACCTTTGCTGTAGATATAACAGGAGCCGTGATCCTTGCATAGACATGCGAATCTGGGACACACTGTATTTCTATCGTGCACCATGCAAAGAATTTCGGAGTCGTTATGGATTCAGAGTTGAGATTTAAGCAACATGTTGCAACATTCAATCTGGAAGAATTTTGTCAAATTTAGAAGATACAATCAAATATCTGCACAATCTGATCCCCAAAATTAGGAAATTACAATTTTCGCTGGCAAACCGTGTTTGTTTTCGCGCTAAACACACATTCTAGGAGCACATTGCGCCGAGATTTATGTCCCTCAGCCGGCGAAATGTATTCCGGATTACCGTCTAAGCACTTCGAGGAGAAAATTTGATAATGTGTATTAGTGGAGATTGGAATAGTTCCAGGAAGCTTAACGGAAAGTTGAGGGAGTAATAGCTCTGAAGTTGAGCCGGGCTGATGCCGATGCTTACCCTACGCTATTGATCACGGAAGCGTCGGCAACGGATATCGCCTTAGACCGGCGGGAACTATCAAAGCACACTTTTGTGCATAAAGACCCGTTCGCTCAAACAGGTTGCCCCAAATAGAGCGCAAAATGACGTAATTAAATAAATAAGGACCAAATCCAACCCGACAACGGCTCAACAGCCCGAAAAACCTAAATTACATTAAAATTAGCCGTGAAATCCTCCATTCTTCAATTAAATGGATAAGGTTTTCTTAGGCAGCCGAAATACCGGGGCAGCGCAGCTGCAATGAGGGGCTTACCTAAGGTTAGTACTACTGGGAAAAGCCTTCTCAGGCAGATTGCTCTGGAAATTTTGTAAATTCTCATACTAAATACAAGCAGCGGCAACACTGCGGTGAGCGATCTGTTCGACTACGATCTCGATTACTTTGATTGTACTGTTGAGACATCCTGCTGATCTGTTCGCCGTTTTCACTTGTTTTTGTATTTCTTCTTCCACTTTTCCATAGCTTGACAGTTTGATTCCCAAGTATTCTGTTTCCATCACTTGTTCTATTACTTTGTCATTTACGACCAGTTTACATCGTATCGGTTCCGCTGATTTCTCTGTTGAAATCACCATGTTGTTTATGATCGCCGTATCTTCGAATTCTTTAATTAATCTTTCTAGGTCATCTTCATTTTCGGCTATTATTATGGCGTCGTCGGCGTAACATGTTATCTGCATTTTCTTGTCTCCTTATTCTATATCCTCTTCTTTTTTTAACTTTCTTTATGATTTCATTACCAGATTAAATATTAGTGGGCTCAGCGAATCTCCTTGTCTAATGCCAGTTTCATACTTGATAGGTTGCTAGAGTTTTCCTTTACATATTACCATAGCTATGTTATCTTCATATATATTCTCAATAGTTTTTACTAAATCCAGTGATATTCCCCTGTCATTATAATAAATGTGTCGCGTCCCGAATTCTCACTCTATCAAAGGCTTTCTTCAAATCTATCAGGCACATATATGCTTTGTTGTATTCCAGCGACTTTTCTTTTATTTGTCTTATTACAAAAACTGCATCCGTGCATGATCTTCATGTCCGAAATCCTTGCTGTTCCTATTGCAGAGTTATTCGTTCGTTTATCTTTGTCGCTATTATTTTTGTTGTCAATTTGAGTGTTGTATTTAACAGATTTATTGCTCGATAATTATTGGGGTCTTTCTTATCTCCTTTCTTGAAGAACATCAGCATGATCGCTCTCCTCCATTCATCTGGTATTCTGTTCGTGTTGATTATTTTTTGAATAAGGAGTTGCAGTTGTTGTACAAGGTAATCACCTCCATATTTTGACTTTCTATTTTTTAATTTATTTATTCCTTGTTTTACATCTTCTTGGGAGATTTCGGCCGTTTCATCAGTTATTATATTTGGCGTTTCCGGTAAAGATTCTTCGTTTTCTTTCTTAAACATTTCTGTCAGGAAGGCCACCCATGTCCCCACTCTCTTATGTGTTCTATTCTCAGACAATTACACAAAAGAAGAAACCTTATGAAGACGGGGAAATGGTAAAACAGGCGTTTTTAGAAGCTGCAGATTCGTTATTTGCCAACTTGGGGGGCTATAGGGGGATACATGGGAAAGGGGGGACGCCACACGGACTCTAGCGAGAGAACACGTGTGCATGCAACATGCATACATTCTGGCTCCGCCTACGAGAATCGCCGGGTGGTACCTCCGCGTTCGACAGTCAGAGACCGTCTACCACCTACGGACAATCACAACATCCACAGTCAAGAGAAAAATTCCTCCTGGGACGGGTCTCGAACCCGCACAGCGCACGGCGGCTGATCAGGAGACCGAAGAGTCTACTACTGCGGCCACCGCTGCTGCCTGCCTGCTAGCTTTCCTTGTGGATATTACAGAAAAATTGAATGAACTTAATTTGCAGCTTCAGGGGTGAGACAAAGAACTAGCAGAAATGATTTCGTTTATCAAAAAGCTTGAGTTTTGGGAACAAAACTTAATCGTTGGCGATACCAGGCATTTCCATGTTCTTTCAGAAAATAATAACCATAACATATAACAGTAAATATCATGTAGAAATAGTCTAGACTGTCATCTGATTATTCAGTGATTTTTCTGTGGTGGTTCCATTTATTTGTTTCATTGTTGTTTCATCTGTAAGCTAAGATATGGTACCTCTGCATCAATTCCATTGCCTCCAACTTCACCTTGTTGAAAAAATAAGCGGAAGGATATTTTTAAACGGCAACGTACAACAAAAATCAGTTATCTCACGTATGCAATCACCCCACACGAACGTGAAACTCGAGTGAACGAATAATCTACACTAAAATTATCCGGTTATAAGTAAGCCCCTTATCGCTATTGGTACTCGTCCAAAACAAATTAAATCTATTTAATTACAATTCAGTCATATTTGAAATGCACGCTCGCAGCAACGGACAGTAATGCAAAATATGAAGCGCGCGGTAATGCCGTCGCGATAATCTGTATACAATATTATTAGTTACTCGATTTGGGATGAACGCCTATCCAATTCTGTCTGTCAATAGCTGGATATTACGTGTTAATTCGTAACATCCGTCAATGTAAACGTGATTGTCTCTATGGCGATTAATTGGAACAGGGGTGCACCTGAACGAAACGCTTCTAGGCCTCAGATTGAGTTAGAATTGTTCAATATGCTCTAAGCCTCAAAATACTCTGAGCATTTTTATCATTTTGATGGATTCACCGGTCTTAAAGGCTAATTACGCAATACTAGTCGTGATCAAAGAATACAGAATTACCAGTGAAAGAACGAGTGAATGAGACGATGTAAAAAAACTATTAAAATATTTTTCTAAACAGGGGTGATGATACTTCCTGAACTATAACTATCCAGGTAGTCGATGACCGGCATCCGATCCCGAAGTGGGTCATGAGTGCCTGATTGCAAAATAAAGGAAAGAAATGATGTTTTGTGGCCTTGCTAATTACTTTAGGCAAGCATTGTTATTCCAGCACATTTGGATTTCGTTTTCTCATACTACTCTGCAGACCTCCAGAAAACGTATTTTTCAGACGGGTTACAGAAGCTGCAGCAACACAGCGTCAATGAATATACAGGGTGGCCCATCGAAAACGAAACAGACGCATTTACTGGCAGCTTAGTTTTTCTTGGAAAAACGCTCAGACCCGTCGATTTTGTTTTCGAGGGGGACACAAGGTTGGCAAAAAATCACGTTAACACGTGCAGCCCCCTGGGCGGGGGTGACACCAACCCTAAAATCTTAAATGGAAACGGGGGGTCGAGTGATACCTTATTTTAAAGATCTTTCAATTCCCTTTATAATGATGTAAAATACATGAGCTTCAGTTCAGTAGTTTTGTCCAACGCAGTACTCGTATTCTTTGTTGTAGATTTATAATAATCCAGAAAGAACTGTCTGTATATGTCTATAATGACTTCAATGTTTGATACAGCATGTTGAAATATGTTCTTGTTTAGTCTATATATAAACTGTAACCGGCTTTGTTAGGTAACTGTCGACAACTTGTTTGATCTTCTTGTAGTTTCTCGGATTATATTGGACTTCTAGTGTCTTAGAACTGACAGGAACGTATGGAATTCTTCCGGGTTTGACCACCGGCCACTCTATGTTGTCAAAAAGCTCCTTCGTTGCTGCGTCTGGTATAGGTTTTCTGTAACAATCGGAATCTCTTACGGAAGGATTGTGATTTATCCCATTTTCTGTCTAGCATTTGAGATATAAAACGTCGGTTTACAGTGAAATTCAATCCTCGATCCTCAATACACGAGACCGCCGTGATCCAAAGATCGTTCATATATATTGCCATCAGAAAGTACATATAATCAGCTTCTACAAGCTTGAACAAGTTTAAATCCAAATTGAACCGTTATTTTTGTTTGAAATGCAGTAAGATAGGTGATGGTGCTTTTTAAAGTAGATAGCTATAGACAAATATCAAAAGTAATTGAGCTACTTCTTAATATAGAATTTTATGTCCATTTCATCCATGCTTTGATTTAATTCGAGCTCAATTGTGCACCTCCAGTGGTATTGTATTTTTGATAACGTAATTTATACTAAGTGACATATAAATCCGAACACCCAGTTTAAATGGTTTTATTTTAATAAAAGTTGGTGAATGTATTTATCTTACTGTAAATAACAAGTGAAAAAATTTTCAGCCTTATCAGTTGGACATTCCGGTTTTTATACTGCTTTTTTTTAATTTTTAATTCACTAACGCTCTAAAAATGAATATTTCAGCCGCAGTAAAGAATCAACGTTGGCGGATTTTAGTTCTTGACATCCTTTACGATGCCTAGAGTACGGAGACCTGTACGATTTCGTCAACTTGATAGGGGCCGTATAGTGGGACCTCGGGAAGCTGGACTTTCTTTTCGGGCAATTGCAGTTAGAGCGCAAAGAAGTGTAGGCACTGTGGTTAGGTGTTGTCAGGCATGGCTTCGAGAAGGCCGTATGCAAAGAGGGCACTGGACGCGGCCGTAGAACAACAGACCGTGAAGATCGCCGCCTAAGATTATTGTCGTTAAGGGACCGTTTCTCCACTACCAGGTCGATTGCAAATGAATGGTTTGCAGAACACGGAGGACCTATTGGCATGCGAAGTGTTTACCGACGAATGAGAAGTTTTGGCTTGTTTTCATACCGGCCACACCGGGTCTTCCCTTTAACTCGAGAACACCGACGTAATCGCCTTGAGTGGTGCAGACAACGGTCACTCTGGGATCAGGAATGGAACAGTATTGTCTTTAGTGACGAGTCTCGATTTTGTTTAGGCATGCACGATGGTCGTGCCAGGGTTAGAAGGCGACGTGGTGAAAGGAGGAATCCACTGTTGGAGTTATGGTTTGGGGTGCTATAGCTTATGGTTCCAGGTCACCTTTAATCTTCATCAGAGGTAACATGAACGCGCAGCATTATATCCACGAAGTTCTAGAACCCCATCTTTTACCCTATCTTGACGCCCTGGCAGATCCTACTTTCCAACAAGATAATGCCCGACCACATGTTGCAAGAGTCACAATAGACTTCTTTCAACATAATGATGTCACATTGTTACCATGGCCACCAAGATCTCCCGACTTATCCCCAATTGAGCACGTGTGGGATATGGACATTAACCACCTGATCAGAAGCATGCCTAGGCGCGTTGGAGAATGCGTAGCACATCAGGGTGCATCCACACATTATTAAAGGTCAAAGGGCTTTAAAGCAGTGCAATCGTTTTGAAATTTTTATCATTTACTTATTATGCTTCATTAAGTACTTATACGTATACAAAATTTTATTAAAATAACACCATTTAAACTGGGTGTTCGGATTTATATGTCACTTATATATATTTGTCTATGAAAGTCGATAAAGACGTTTATTATTATTATTACTATGGAAATATTGATACTCACTTATGCTTAACGAAGTTAGATATCATCTTAACCATCCGAGACCTCATGGGCTCAAAACCAGGCGATGTTGTTACTAATGGATTAAACCAGTAATAGTACAAGTCTTCGCCATGACCTACTCCCTCTATCCCTGAAACTGCGTGAAATTATATCTCTAACGTGTACAGGGTGGGTCAGTAATACGTAGCCGGAGGATTATGGGATCTTTAACATATGTTTTTAATCTTTCACTATTTCTTTTATTATGCAACTTCTATATAGGTGATTTTGGATATTTCAACTCCTTCCTATAAGCAGTTGAAATGAATGACTCAACTTTGCAAACACCCTGTATATCAGCTAACGGCGGTTAAGTGCTAGATGTTTGTAAGACTAACAGCTATTTTGGGGTAATCGTAACAGGTTATTCACCGATGTGGCCGTGAAAGAAGAATAGGACAGGCATACTTACCAGCTGCTAACGGGTGTGGCTGAAATGTTTGAGATGTCAGAAACATGTAAACTTGGGCATGTTTGGACGCACTTTCAGCAAACCTGATCGTTGGCATTGCTAGCGCAAAATCTGAACAGATCTACAGACGTGAAGAAGATTAGCACCATATTCCACAGATACATTTTGTTGTTCGTTAAGTTGTACAGCCTACACCATCCGTTCGTATGCTCAAAATGATACCAAAGAGTAGTTATATAAATAGAAGACAGTTAGACAAGGCGAATAAAATTAGAGAGATATAAGAGATTACTCCGAAGACACAAAACAGCTGAAGGCATCAAAACACGGCTCCGCTCTAAAAAAGGTATAAGCTATCACATAGCTCTTTAACTAAATACCCAATTTAGTAATAAGAGTACATCAGTTTGGAAGCTTTCGAACCTCGAATTGCTTATTTGACCAATCGTCGGTCTATTTGACATGGCCTCACATTAAGACGTTGTTTAAATCAAATCAAAAAACGTGAAAATACTGAGATCCATACTGCCTGGTATAAATGTAGCTTTTTATAAATATTTTATGGCAGCTTGGCAACACCACCTTGGTATCTTTGAGTGAAAAGTCAATACAGAAACAAGTGATAGTCCCAGAGCCGACCGCAAAGTTTTTGTTTCATCGCGTACAGATATGAAATGTTAAAACTTTTTTAGTTTTTATAGTATGATATCAGTAACAAGAAATTTACGATTGGCTTCCTTACTATAATGCAGATGACTTGCAAGATCCATCGGGCCCAAAGAGCACAGATACTTTAACATGACAATGTCGCGAGTTCAGGCAGAACAATCAATAGAGAGGTAAACAGTTTATAGTTATAAGGTTCCAATATTGTTTAGCAAACTGGATACTGGGGAATGATTATATGATGTAAAAGAGTATTCCGATCCTTATTCTAATTTCAAAAAGTAAAAACATTTCTTCCCTGTCCTTAAAATTTATCATACGTATTATTAGATGTCTATTCTTTTCAAGACCAATTGTAATAAAGGTGGAGTTCTGGAGTTGGGACTATAACGGGAAAATGTATTTACAACGGAACTTCCACGGTGACATTGAAACTTATTTTAAGGGTCAAAATTAGAAACATTCTCCGATAGCGTTTAGTAGTGTGCAGTTTAAAGTATTTTAAAAACTCGACAGGGTAATACAAAACAAGAAATTTTGGGAGAACAGAGAGGTACAAAAATGAAGAGGAGAACTTTTGTATATCATCACGTTTGGCAATCGGAGATTTCTGGTTGAGCCTACTACTATCAAAACTGTTTATGATTAAGCTATCTCTCCCTATTATACTACCTTACTTGACCCATATTATCAATCTGTGTCTTGAGAAGGGCTACTTTCCTAAATCTTGGAGACGAGCAATAGTACGGCCGATACCTAAGGTCAGGAAGCCCACCGATTTCTCGGATCTTAGGCCCATCAGTCTTTTGAGTGTTTTGTCAAAGATCTTGGAGAAAACAATTTATTTGAAAATCTTAGATTTTTTAGAGTCAAGTGACATACTCCCAGTACATCAGTCTGGGTTTAGAAAATCATACAGTACTAAAAGTGCTCTTCTGAATTTAGTGGACAACATCATCAGGGCCCTTGATAAAAAAATGTGTGTCGCCTTAGTTTCACTGGATTTCTCCAAGGCCTTTGATAGAATTGATCACGCACTGATGTGTGCTAAGCTAAAATTTTAAGGTTTTGATAAAATAGCACTGCAGTTTTTTAAATCATACCTAACCCACCGTTCTCAGCGCGTCTCACTTTCTGGAGTTTTGTCAAATGAGCACTTTATCACTTCGGGTGTGCCTCAGGGCTCAATTTTAGGACCCTTGTTATTTTTAATTTATGTAGCCGTTATTGCTAAGTCGATTCAAAATATAACACTTAAGAGCTCTTCTGCTCAATGGTGATTCTTAAAGGTGTTTTTCTCCAGCATTATATTTTTAAGCTAATTTTTATTTAGGCTGTAATCAGTTACATGGGCATTTTCCTCCTTTCATTTTCTTTACAGCTGTACTTTTTACCATCTATTATTCTTATGCAGTTAATGGTTAAGTGTAAGAATAGCTGCCATAGCTAAACTTTTGTTTTTTCTAATAAAAGACGGTTTATTATTATATCGGATGTCAGTCCTAGGCTTAGGCCGACTGTCATTTGCTTATCAAAGCCCCAACTTTAACACTATGTTTTGAGCACACTAAAAGGCGATACGTATGATCCGTATTTCAAGCTTGAGATGATTCCTTTATTATTACTGAATCAGTGAATCCCTATTACCTACTTTGATTACGCTCCGAGCATCTGTCACGAACGATGTATTTGTATAGAAAGACTTCAGCTTCTGGCCAAACTCTTTCCTTTTAGTTCGAGGCACCCTAATATTTTCGAACAGCATGTTGCTAGGATCCTTCTCCCACGCTGTGGATTTCTGCAAGTAATTCCCGGAAATATAAGGATTTACTCCCTCTTCATCATTGAATCCGATCAACATTGGTACCTAAAAATACCACTCATCTGTTCCCAAGTTCCAAAATAACGATATCACTCACCTTTTTGAATTTGCCATTATCAACGGCATCAGTCTGCGGTAGTGAAAAGTCGTCACCTTTTCCTAATGTTGGAACCCAGGCTAACGTAAGAGCCCCATTGAACGATTGAGCGCCTTGAGACTGTCTAAACTAAAAACATTTAAAATAACGAACGTTGTTATTAAACGATCGAATCAGAGTACGCTTTACCCCCGTGCGCGCCAGTATCTGTTCAGGTGTAGCACTTTGCAGCAGTTTCAGGAGGTCTTCCGAACGATTAGATTTGAACGTGTGGTCCAATTTTCGAGCCAACTCAAATGCATTCTTTCTTGATTTTGTATGACTAGCCCATGGGCACAATGCACTACCGCTGATTAATATTGCTCCTGTAATTGGTACTGGAACGGAATTGTATTATTTCTTCGTACAACAAAAAACTATTTACTTCCCCCGCCGATTGGCGAGGAGGTATTGTTATTTCGAAAACGAGGTAGTATGTTTTTTGAACGGGTCTAGCCTAGTTGATGGCTGAAAATACAGAATATAATTCCTTAGCGCATTTCAGGAAGAAAAGTTTATATGAACATATGTCCTAAACCTCTTAACTTTTGAGCTGCAGGGTGTTAAAGTCTTGGGAAAAAATTAGTGTCTCATAATGTTAGTGATGGGAGAATACATGTATTGGAAAGGTTAAAAAATATGAATTGAATCGCTTTTACGTTATTTCGACTGAAATACTGCATATCCGCTCTGTTTCTGTTTCTATACTAAGTGACATATAAATCCGAACACCCAGTTTAAATGGTTTTATTTTAATAAAAGTTGGTTAATGTATTTGTCTTACTGTAAATAACAAGTGAAAAAATGTTCAGCCTTATCAGTTGGACATTCCGGTTTTTATACTGCTTTTTTTTTTAATTCACTAACGCTCTAAAAATGAATATTTCTGCCGCAGTAAAGAATCAACGTTGGCGGATTTTGGTTCTTGACATCCTTTACGATCGGTTACCATGCCTAGAGTACGGAGACCTGTACGATTTCGTCAACTTAGTGAGTTTGATAGGGCCCGTATAGTGGGACTTCGAGAAGCTGGACTTTCTTTTCGGGCAATTGCAGTTAGAATGCAAAGAAGTGTAGACACTGTGGTTAGGTGTTGTCAGGCATGGCTTCGAGAAGGCCGTACGCAAAGAGCAAGTGGCACTGGACGCCGCCGTAGAACAACAGACCGTGAAGATCACCGCCTAAGATTATTGGCCTTAAGGGACCGTTTCTCCACTACCAGGTCCATTGCAAATGAATGGTTTGCAGAACACGGAAGACCTATTGGCATGCGAAGTGTTTACCGACGAATGAGAAGTTTTGGCTTGTTTTCATACCGGCCACACTGGGTCCTCCCTTTAACTCGAGAACACCGACGTAATCGCCTTGAGTGGTGCAGACAACGGTCACTCTGGGATCAGGAATGGAACAGTATTGTCTTTAGTGACGAGTCTCGATTTTGTTTAGGCATGCACGATGGTCGTGCCAGGGTTAGAAGGCGACGTGGTGAAAGGAGGAATCCACAGTTTTTTGTTGAAAGACATGTTCATCACACTGTTGGAGTTATGGTATGGGGTGGTATAGCTTATGGTTCCAGGTCACCTTTAATCTTCATCAGAGGTAACATGAACGCGCAGCGTTATATCCACGAAGTTCTAGAACCCCATCTTTTACCCTATCTTGACACCCTGGCAGATCCAACTTTCCAACAAGATAATGCCCGACCACATGTTGCAAGAGTCACAATAGACTTCTTTCAACAAAATGATGTCACATTGTTACCATGGCCACCAAGACTTATCCCCAATTGAGCACGTGTGGGATATGATGGGTAGGAGATTGCTCAATTTGCAACGTCCTCCTCAGACTCTAGAAGCACTTCGAGAGGAGTTGGTGGTTGCCTGGAATGAGATACCACAGGAGGACATTGACCACCTGATCAGAAGCATGCCTAGGCGCGTTGGAGAATGCGTAGCACATCAGGGTGCATCCACACATTATTAAAGGTCAAAGGGCTTTAAAGCAGTGCAATCATTTTGAAATTTTTATCATTTACTTATTATGCTTCATTAAGTACTTATACAAAATTTTATTAAAATAAAATCATTTAAACTGGGTGTTCGGATTTATATGTCACTTAGTATATTAAATACAATGGAGCGCAGCTCAGAAGTACCGTCATTATCAAATAATTCGACTCACACTCCTTGTACGTTGCTATCAAATGGTAACCAACCGAAACAGCACCAGCACTTTCACCAGCTATCACAATATCGCTGGGATCCCCTCCAAACTTATCGATGTTATCCTTCACCCAATTGATCGCCAGGCGCTGATCCCTCAGTCCTAGATTTGTTGGAATTACGTTATCTTTTGTCGTCAGAAAGCCTAAAATGGACAACGGAATAGGTCACGTCCAAGTGACGTCACTTACGTCTGGTATCGGTGAAACATAACCTTATAGTATGCGTGTTCCGGTGGTATTTCATGTTGGTGTCGATCATTTTGTTTCAAGTAATAGAGATTATCTAACTATAAGTCTGAATGTTAAAGGATCTTAATGTCATCATGTTGAAAAACAATCTGTCGCATCGACATACTTAAGGGCAAAATCGCTATATTAATCTTGGCCTATAGAGGACAAAATCAAATTAAAGGTCTCTACCTCAAATCATAGCGAGTATATTATCAGCAAACAGCTTGAAAAATTACCTAATGGTCCAATGCGGTAGTTAGGTGACACAACAACAATTTCTTCATCCATTAAATACGCAGGGTCGTACCTGCCAGCGACTAACCCGACAACGAAAAAATTCGATCCAGATTTGAAACCGCCTCCATGAAACCACAGCAGGACTGGCAGCTTTTTGCCTGGCGTCATCTGAAAACCATGTTAGCAAGTTGATGCTAATCATCTAGATACAATCATCAATATGGAGAAATGACTTTAGAGGTATATACATCCGTTATGCCATAGTTTACAGGATAAATACACCGGGCACTGCACACTGAACAGACACCTGTCCCTCTTAAGGGGGATGATAGATCCAGCCTGCTTCGTACTGGGAGGCGGACGAGACGGCATCCCACTTTCTGGGCTGTTGCCCCGCGTATCGCAGTCTAAGGCCAAACGTATATATTTGATGCCGTACCTGTCTTCCTGATAATTTTTCTTTCTGAGACCAAGCATCCTACGATCAGCTCTGACAAATAGAATATTTTCACTCATCTACCTTCTTGTATCCTGAATTGCATGTTTATCATGTGCATACATGAGATAATTGTCTTGAAATTACTTACACTAGGCGTATAAACGTTGATAACAAGGCAGTCTTCGGTACCTGAGATTATTGTGGTATTTGGAAATGTCTCTTGAGAGCAAACTGTTAATGGTCCTATATTCCCTTTGACTCCAATCCATGGTTTAGCTGGTACGGGATCCTATTGAATAAACAACTTATTATATTAACAATTAGAAGACTTTATGGACTGAATGCTCTATTCTACTATCGTTTTTAAAATATAGTTGAAATTATTCAAATGAGAAGTGTTTTATTCACTAAGCGTATTCTTTGATAACTGACATTTGATGAACATTTATTATGACAAAGCATGTGTTTATTTTGACCTTTATCTAGCGTTCATACTTAGTAATTAATAAGCCTCTAACTTGTAATTTTTCATTAAATCACATTACTTTTGCTAAATGGTAGTTCTAAGTTGACAGTAGTAATTTTTTCGCATGATTTCGTACGAAAATTTGATACAAAAATTTCTCTACGTAACAGACAGGATTGTAATTCAGTATCGCATCTTCTCGAAATATTTGGTATCAAATTATGAACAATGATAAGTAAACCATGCGTAAGTCATTCTTGTGGTCATCCCAGAAAGATGAAAACAAGATCAAAACTCTTTTTGCATCAGAGAATCTTTTGGCGCGGTTCTTTGTCGTTCTTTTTAAGCAGTTTCCAAATATATAGAAGTCTTGGAGGGAAATTTATGCACAGTTTTTCTAAATTTCCCCTTTCGTCTATTTGCATAGAATGCAAGCGTTTTCATTCGGGGACTGCCATTTCTAAGGAACTCGATGGAACTTGAAAAATTGAAATTCTCATTAACTGTCTAAAAGTTTAAAAAAAATGGTTTCGAAAGCTTTCTCTCAAGGCCTGACAGCATTATGAAATTTTTCAGGGAGGAAAGTCGTTTTCTATTAGAAATGCTAAAGAAATATGACGGCGAACAAGCCCCTTTAAAAGACCGTAGCGCCCTTAGGGGACGTTTGTCGACCTATGTTTATATAAACTCTTCTTCCTATGTTAAGCTCTAGAAACCGCTGGTAGAATATTGAAAACTTTTTTTGGGACACCCTGTATATATATATGTAAGGTGAAAAATTAAAGCTTCCGCCTTTTGTTGGGTACTTCGACAAAATTTAAGCAAAGAGGACTCTTTATACTTTTTTTAATTCTCTCTAGCTTTCAATGGACTTTACCATCATCATCAGGAGCTGCAATTACAATGATAACAGTAGCAACAAAAGTGTAAAATGAATTTAAATTGAATCAACTTACAGTAGTATGTGAGGATGTTGCTAATTGTTGTTTTCGTATAGGATGAGGGAAACGTCCAGTAACATGGTGAGAGCTGGATACATGGTTAAAATTATATAAAATATGACAAGACAAGTTAAAGACATTAAAAATTATTTAGAAAACATTAGAGCATTACGTCGTGAAGCCACTTGATGATTGCACAAAATGGTGGTCATGGAATAATGAGTGAGATGAACCTTTGACAGAAGGCCGAAGGTTGTCAATGTCTGTGTTGAAAGATGGAACGAATTGTGGGCGTGTGCCAAAACGTTGCCAAATCACTTCAGATGATGTGATTTTCAGAATGTTATGTAAGAAATTGTTAAAAAAATATATATATGTATATACTTTGTTCATATCATTTTTTGAAGCATTCCTTCTTGTTTTACTTGAGTATAGTCAGTATACTTTACATAATTCAAAATGTCTGATCCATTTCAATTTCACTGGTATTTTCCAATGAACAGCAATAAATCAAGCTACATAAATCAGTAATGAATGACGTTCATTGTGATGTTACCTCATAAGACGTTTTTATAGATAGAAAAAATATTTTAATAAGTTCACTTACCTTATACCTTAGATCCGCAATAGGCGGTTCGGCATACGGAATATCATAGAATGCTCGGTAAGATTTACCAGAGTAAGATGGCTTAACATGTCCCCCAACTACACTAAATGGGGGATTGTTCAACGTTACGAGCAGCTGCGAGTATGCAGTTTGTACAAAGAACAGCAAGGATAGATGATTCCGGATCAGTTTTGAAAAACTGTTCATTTTTTCAAACTAACACGACAGCGAATAAGTTTATAGTAAGCGCGGTAACCGCATGCGACGGACGATAACGATATTGAAATAGCAGAAAAGCACGTATAAGTACATGTATGGTTGTTTTGTGGAATATTTCTTCAAATTCCAATCAAACGATTACAGTAGTTTGGAAAACCTGTCACTACGTAGGTATGTCCAGAAGTTTCGGCACAAAATTCGTTGGCTTTAATTTTGACAAACTCAAAATACTATCAGGTTGCGTTTGGAACCAAACGTTTGTTTACTGACTTTACTGTCAGTTCACATTTATTTATTTTGAAGTTTAGGCTTTAAGATGTCGTATAGATTAGAGATACTGGAGATTTTGGTTGATTTACGCAAAATTTACCTTAAGCTCCTTATCTTAAAACTAATGTATTTAATTGACTTGAAAATACGGAGGCATTACAACTTAGCTCTCTGTCCCAAGTTTTCTGCAGTATTAAGAATACATAAGTCCTTCGGTGTTTCTCAAGATACTCCTCCCATTATCCGGGAAACTTCCGAAAGATCTCAAAGGACTAAAAGTGCCGCTCCCTTTAACAAAATTACCTTAAATGCGCGAAAAGCAACACCTGCCCTGAAACTTCCGGCACAACACCGAAATAATTCCGTTGAACTTCGTCGGGCTTTTTACACGTTATGCAAGAATTTTCACGGTTCATTAATATTTTCCGGGCCTGGTGTAGCGAGCTGAAGAGTAGCTAACTACGTCGCTAATAAGTTAAGTAGAGTCCTCCAACTTTCACGAATCACCTGGAAACTTATGTTTTAAACCATGTTGCGCTCTGGGAAAAAGCCTACCTTGAGATTCTTCCACGAAGGAATAGAAGACTGATTTTTATGGAACGTTATACCATGTGACAGTTGGGTGACCCAGAATATATATAAATTTTTGTACGAATTGACATAGTATACCATTATTACTAATATAGTATACAGGGTGTTTCAGTTTATTGTTGCATAACTTTAAGATTCGATAGAACTTTTAAAATTAATGCATAAAGTCTATATACACATGGGTCGAAAAATGCGTGGCTTCCGAAATACAGGGTGTTTAAATATACTTTCTAAAATAGTTTTTTTTAAATATTTCGAACAATATTTGATGTATAATAGTGAAAATTGGTATACAAGGGTTTTTTGGTACGACAAAACGAACCATGGACATAGTTTTACTGTAGCCGCTAGAGGGCGCTCTCTACTGTACCTGTAGTGTATTAAAATGACCGAAAATTTTTTCTTAGTGCAATTTTTTGCTTTTTGAATAAAAAAACTAATTCTTCGCACTTTTCAACATAAAAAAGCTCTCCTGTGAGTTTTCGTTATAGTTTTTGAGATATTTCGATTTTTAAGGTTCGATGCATTTTCAATTATTTATGGGAAAATAATATTTTTTTTTACATTTTCGATTTGGGCATTACAAGTAATTAAGATGATCGTTTAGATTGTGTTTTCAAACACAGCAATAATTCCTAACTCCAAATAAACACAAAAAAACAGAATACTAATTTGTTTAATTTTCCAATATTATTTTTTACAAATTAAATTAATTATTTACAACTAAAATGCTATTGGCTAGTTAGGACAAACATACAAAATCTAAAGTAGTTGCTCGAAATGTAAACTCAATTGTTCAATACACAATTCACATCTACGAATGATCGAATGTGGTATAGCATTATTCAAATAAGGCCTTATTTCATCACATGTATTCCTGATTCTGTCTATTAGCATATCTCTTGTGGTTACGGGAGTCTGGTACACTTTTTCTTTTAGAAATCCTCACACAAAGAAATCTAATGGATTTAGGTCAGGGGATCGTGGAGGCCAGGCGACTGGTCTTCCACGGCCGATCCATCTTTCTGGATAATTTTCGTCCAGCCAGTTTCTAACTATTCTCGAATAATGAGCTGGACAACCATCAAGCTGGAACGAGGCCAATCTTCTTAAATCTAACATAACATCATCTCACATATTTGCATGTTCAGCCATTAAAAATTCCAAGAAGGTCGCAGCATTTAACCTTGCAGGCAAAGGTAGGGTCCAAATAGTCGATTACGGTAGATACCAATCTACACGTTCACACTAAATTCGTGCTAAAAATTTCTCTTTCGAACTGCGACCAAATATGTTGATTATGAAAATTTACCACTCCACGTCTAGTGAAGCATGACTCATCGGTCCATAAAACGTTACTTAAAAACTCCCTATTATTATCAGTTCTATCAAGAATCCACTGACAAAATGTGATTCTTCGTTCTCCGTCCCCTGGCTGTAGTCCTTGCACAGGTTGCAAATGGTAAGGACGTCTATGGTCATTTCTAAAAACACGGTGAACATGGCTTGCTGAAATTCCCAAGGCACCAGAAACTCTTCTAACACTTGTGGTCGGATCTCTATCAAACTCACGCAGAATCATACGGGTAAATCTGCGCTGACGAACATTTATGTTTTGATCCCTTTGGAGATTTCCAAAACCATTTTCAATTATTTGGCGATGCACTCTTACAAATACTGAGCGAGTTGGATGTCGTCTGTTTGGAAATCTTCGTGCGTATTCTCTGGCTGCTTCTGCTGCGTTTCCATTTACAAAGCCATACACAAAATGAATATCCGCTAACTCTTGATTGGAGAATAAAAATGGCATTTTTATAAAACTTACAAAAAAACAGGTAAAAGAAACTGAATTTCATGCATTCACAATAGCAAAAAAACGTTTCAGGTTTCAACAGTCAACAAAACTAACTGTCAACTAATTGACGTTTAACCTTATTCTGCTTTCAATTTCAAAAATATTTGCAGGCACAGCCTACTTCTAAAAATTATCGAGATACTGACTTTTTAACGTTATTTTATCATGAATAATTAAAAATGCATTGAACCTTAAAAATCGAAATATCTCAAAAACGGCTAACTATAACGAAAACTCACAGGAAAGCTTTTTTATGCAGAAAAGTGCGAAGAATCAGTTTTTTTATTCAAAAAGCAAAAAATTGCACCAAGAAAAAATTGTCGGTCATTTTAATACACTACAGGTGCAGTAGAGAGCGCCCTCTAGCGACTACAGTAAAACTATGCCCATGGTTCGTTTTGTCGTACCAAAAAACCCTTGTATACCAATTTTCAATGTTATGCATCAAATATTGTTCGAAATATTTAAATAAAACTATTTTAGAAAGTAAATTTAAACACCCTGTATTTCGGAAGCCACGCATTTTTCGACCCATGTTTATATAGACTTTATGCATTAATTTTAAAAGTTCTATCGAACCTCAAAGTTATGCAACAATAAACTGAAACACCCTGTATAATACTCAACTATACAGATGGCGTGATTAACTTCATGTAAAAAAGTTTCGTACCCTTCCGTTTCTCGCGGATATCATATATAGATCAGTCAGAAACACAAAAAGAATTTTTACAGTTTTCAGAAGAAACAATCTGTACGTCTTTACAATTGTAGATTATCGATTTTTTAAATGAGATGGAAAAACTGTGCATCGTATTCAAATTTTGCACTATAGGAGTGACCCTATCATGCATACCCGCGCGTCTGGTAGCTCGTGGAGAAAATATATGCGATTCAATAAGCTGGTTAACATCGAAACCTGCGTGAATTCCTTGACAATCGCATCCTATATTAAATTTACTCATAGGTATATCGCATATCGTTGGATACGAATCAGGAGGAAAATATTCGGTAATTTGTTCAACTTTAACCCCACGCACTTCAATCGTGTCTGCACCTGACATCAAAATATTGGGGTGATACGTTTAATACATTCACATTATAATGTTATATGAACTGAATATAAACGGAAGTCCCGTGATATCAGCTTTATATAAGTAAAGCGCTTTTCTTATACTTAAAACTTAAAAGACATCCCTCGTATATTGTTTGGGATCACACGGTGCTGTGTGGGAACCCACGATGTATAGTATTGTTCAGAAAGCTTTTGCTGTCTTTGTTATTTATGTTTTCAATGATGTATTTTACACTAAAATTAATTTATAATACTATGACTTTATATATCATTTCAAAGCGCGTTTTTCGCTCTATCTAGTCGTTGTATTCGTTTTGTTTATGATATTTTTTCCACGTATCCAAGTATAGGATGTACAAGAGGCAACGTAGAAACAAACTTCAACCAATATGACAGCCCATAATGGCTCAATCCCACGACTTTGAATTCTACCGGAACACATCTAGCTAAGGAGCTCGCAGACTCATAATTCCTGAATACGCGTTGTTATGATCCTGAGTATGAAAGCCGTCAAGCAAATGTTCCCAACTTCGTCTGTCAAAGACCGGTGTATAAGCACTGGCTGTGCTTGCCTGATTGAGCAGAGTTTGTTCCTTATCCTGTTTGCAGATCCAGTTAACTTGAAATTAGCCAAGTTTGCAGGGCGTTCGCCTGTTGAATACACAGTTTTCTAGCAAACTGCCCCGAATTTCATCAACTTCGAGTGTAGATAAGTTTGTTTTAGGGTGTGTGATCGACATATTGAACTGTATGTTGTGGGGCTTGAGAGACGTGCACGTGAAACTTGCTTCTATCATTACATCTCGATAGTTTGATCAAGTAAATTAATCTCCCATATTGGCGAGGTATGGTCGGTAGTTTAGAGATACCATAAGAATACTCTGCATTTACTCAAAAGGTATGTGTGTGTGGAAAACCTAAGGAATATAGTTGTTGCCCAAGAAAAAAAGTGACATCTGCCTAATTTCAAGGTTTTGACCTCTCCGAAGAAATATTTTGTATACGACCACAAATCACCATAAACCTGGGAGACATCGAAAATAGCATGCCTTAAGATGTGTCTGATCTGCATCAGTAGGAACCTTGTGTGAACATTTTTCAAGACCCGAGCTGACCATAAAGTAGTCTCTTTTCAATTTAAGTAACCATCATTTAAAATAAAGCAGACAATTAGAGACTTCAAGAAATTTGATGACGTTGCCTCTCTCTGGGACCTTTTTAATTCTGCCTTAAATAAAGTATTCTCATAGAATGATATTGATGATAAGGTGAACTTATAATGATCCTTTCGATAAACATGCACCTCAAAAATTATAAGGGTCAACAAGCTACATGGTTGAATGAGGAGCTACCGCCTCTTCTTAAAGCAGCTCTTTCTCCTTACAGGTCAAGAAACACTAACGGACATCGCGAAAACTTCAGGTTGCTCAGGAATTGAGCTCTTACAATGATAAAGCATAGTAAAAGAGCTTATGTTCAAAGTCAAGTTGATGAGAATAATCCAAAAAGAAAATATTCACATGTTTAAAATGTTTAGACATAAATTTCGATACAAGCCTCAGTTAGATGATCCTGATAAAATTGATGACTATTTCACGTCGGTATACAGCAATGCATCTGTGGATACACAAGTATCTGAGTATTACTCCACAAATAAGTTAAATCCTTTACATGTACGTTCCCTTAACATTGTTGAGCCGGGAGATGTGTCAGAAGCAATAAGAAGTTTAAGGTCAGACGCAAAAGTTATCAGGTATATCTTCAACAATGCTGAAATTATGTCTATCACTGTTTCGTTATCACATTGTGAACATTTCTAATAACTGCTCAAAAAGGGGTATTTTCTAGCAGCTTGGAGAAGAGCACTAGTTGTACCAGTACCTCTCAATCAGCAAAACTAAATAATCTCAGACCAACTAGTCCATTATACATAGTTTGAAAAATATTGGGAAACATAGTGATCTTACGTGAACTATTCATATCTTGGTAAGTATAGCATTCTGGTTTCAGGAAAAACTGTCGAACAACCCCTGCTCTACTCAATATGCCGGACGATATCTTACGAGACTTGGATAAAAAATGACAGACACTCTTATATCCATA